AGGACATTCCTCTGCGCCCCGCCCCCCCCCCAAAATTCCCCTTCCCTCTCTGCTCTCCTTCCACCACAACGAACTTACCAGCTGGAGGCAGCTGTACTAGAAAACAGATTGGAATCAGCCAATATGCCTCCTTAAATATCGGCTACTGGTTTCAGTCCCCAAAATGTCTAACAGTATACCCCTTAATAGGAACCTTTTCAATCTTTCTCGCTTCCATGCCCAAACCGAAGTTACAGTGGCCTTGATTGTGGAACTTCAGCACGTCAATGATTGTTTCGTTCTTGCACATACTGATGAGGACCTACAAACGGCCCATAACTGCTTCACTCAAGCATACCAATGCCTGGGACTGACCCTTAGCATCAGAAAAACAAAGGTGCTTCACCACCCTGCTCTGGGTCAATTAACTCCCCTGGCAAAGATCCTCACTTATGGACAGGAGCTGGAGAACGTTGAACACTTTGCATACCTTGGCAACCATCTCTCAAAAGAAGGCCAACATCCACAAGGAGATCCAACATAGGATCTGATGTGCCAGCTCCGCCTTTGGGACTGTATCATCGCATGTTCAATGTTCATAACATCAGGACTTGAACAAAACTTTTGTTTTTAGGTTTTGTTTTTTTATATAAGGCTGTAACCATAATTCTTCTCTATGGCTAATAAGCTTGGGTAACCTACAGGGACCACCTGAAAAGCCTGGAATGCCTTCAACAGCGCTACTTCTGGAGTGATCACTATCAACTGTGAAGGATCGCCACCACCGACAACATTTATTGGCATCCAATAATGTGGATTCATTTACTACTGTCACTTTCCTTTAGGTGTCAACAGTCCCTTAATATAACGACAGCCTTCCAGTAAACAGGGAAGTTACTGGTGAATACACAGATGACTGAGGAGGCCAATATGAAATCCACGTTTGACTGCAAACATGGCAAACAGTTCCAGGACCAAGAAGCAAATCTGATTATGTCATATCACAGCTCATTCTCTGTCTGTTTTGCTTATTCCCCTTCATAGTGACAGTTTGCTTGAAATGGCTGATGCCTTGTCATATATTATGGTGCCACTGAGGACAATTCAGTGCTTGAGTCCTCCCAGATATTGATGTGACTATTTCATTTCTTCAGGTTTGCCTTCAAGGTGATCCTGAATCTCTTTTTTTGCCCACCTCTAGAGCAGTGACTAATGGTGTGTCGAGTATGCTTTGGGAGCTGATTGTCAGGCATCCTTGGGACTTGTCCGGTGAAACAAAGCTGGTCCTGTATAAACATAGCTTCAATGCTGGTGATCCTTTTGCCTGAGCCAGAACACTGACATTTGTTCTTCTGTCCTTCCAATCAATAAGGAGGATTTTCCCTGAATACATGGCTGACGTTCCAAAGCTTTCAGGCATTTCCAGTATGTCATCCAAGTTTCACACCCATATAAGAGGGAAGAGATGACAACAGCCTGATAGATGAGAAGTTTGGTTTGGGTTCTGATGTCATGAACACTGAAGACATCATTTTGGAGACATCCAAAAAGAGCAACAGATTTTATTTGCTGTTGAATACTGTCATCTATGTTTACTTTTTGGGAAAGTTGGCTACCCAGGTAGGGAAAATGCTTAATATTTTCCAAGAATTTTTCTTTAGAAACTGTTGGAAAAGCAGGTTGGAAACTCCTAAAGGACAGTACAACACTGAGCAACCAATTCTCCTTTCTATTTACCTAAAAGAAAGACTTCCTTACCAAAAGTGGCAGCCATGGTGGGATCAAGGGAGGGCTGGCCATCACCAGATGGAAGGTCAAGGCGAGTGAAATCTCTACTTTTGTCATTGTTGTATTTTACATTAAGGCTTGTTAACTTGGAGAAATCAATACGGAGAGTGCAGCATGCATTGTAGATATTCTGGCCGTCCAGAGCCTACAGAAAAAACAGATGATAATTTTATAAAAAGGACTTTTTTTGGTAGTCGTACCAAATATTAACAGCTTGATTCAAATATAAATCCACAGTAGTTTGCACATTCTAGCCTGACAACTGCACAACCCTTGGATTACCCAAACGTCTTCCCCTCTAATGCAGTGATTCTTAACCAGGCACATTGTGGTGCCTTGAGATCCTTTCATGGGTGCTGCGGGGTGTCATGCAATGTAAGCCTTTTTATGTATGAAAACATGATTCACAAAATAAACCTAGATGTTTAAAACAGGAATCCATGTTGTAAAAAAAAAAAGTCTGACTTGTTGTGGCCCGAGTACGTTGCAACAGAAGAATTGATGTATTATTTTCTGTTGCCAAACAATGGGTGAAAACTAAGAGCTGGCATTTTCTAAAGGGTGTCCTGTGTCCAATACAGGACTCCTTGGATCTAAAAGGGTTGAAAACTACTGCCCTAGTATATCAGCATAAAACAAGGTCAGTACATGTGTGTTACGTGTACTTGTCTATGCAACTTAAAGTGCCTGGCTCCCTCACCTGAAGCTAGAGAGGCTCATGCTTTTTGTCTTATTGGTCCCACACCCAGTATGTGATTTTAGGTGACATCAGTTTTATATATATATTATATATAGCAGTAGCCAACTACAGGAATTTGTGGATGTTGGATCAAGAGCTTTACATTATATTTACACATTTATTAAACCGCCCACACACTAGCAGAAATGGATAAATTAGCCATGTTTATCTTATGAATTGGTCTTGCTCTTTCAACATCACTGACGTGCTTTCTGCCCAGACATGCTGTTATTACCAAAAGCATAGAAAAATCACCCAGAGGCTACCTACTCTGGGTAAATTACCTATGATTTAGCTCTGTGGCATGTAAATAGGAATAAATGCATTTACTTAGGTATCTTTAATGAAAAGTGTCATTTCATAACCGGCTCCCACCTACACTAAAAAAAAAAAAAAGCACTTTTCACACTTTGTACTGAAGGAACACCATCACTTGCAAAGTTTCAAAAAATCTTTGTAAAGACAACAGCTTGATCCTCATAAAATGTATATTAGGCCAGAACATGAAATAACACTGACTGTTGTACATACAATGGATGACAATACCTGAATCGGTCTCAGGCTACATGTTCAATTTACAATGATAGAGAACTCCCTGTCCAAAAGAATTCAACAAGCTTTGTCTGCAAGGTCAATGGAGCCAGGCTTAGGAGAGGCACTGAGATAATTTTGAAAGCGAGACTCTAAAAACATCAGCAAAGAGCGTAAACAAAAATATCGGACCTACTGATGTTTAAGTCTGCTCTAACCTAAGACAGGTATTTTTAGTAGAGCACGCACCAAAATATTTTTCAGTTATCAAGGAAAATACAGCCTATTAAGACACATGATCATGGCATCAAAATTGCAATTCAAAGTGCACCATGACCAAGAGGCCAATTTACAAAGAGGTTATTTTACTTAAAAAGGAAATTTTACCTTCCTTTTTATTAAAACATTTAAAATGGAATGCATGCCAGATAGAGCACCTACTTTTTCAGTAGTATTTAGCCTACTGCAATAAGTTAGCCACATCCAGGTCAACTCCCTCATCCTACATCCTATTCCCCCCTAAGATTAACTAACTCTATCAAAACAGAAGTCACAGGACATCTTACTCTGAACCTCTGTATTTCTTCATTTACAAAATTTTGCTTTTTACACAATGCTCTAATAGTCAAATCTACTGTGCATATTAGAGATTAAGTGGCTGTGCAAGCAGCCCAGAAATACCCCTAACAACTTACTAGTTAGTAGTGGTATATTTTCTTACAGAACACTTTTGATTCAGTAGCATTTACCTACTCCTTAGTTTACCATGCGTCTTTGTCTACGAATACTGTATCTAGGCAATACCAAGTCAACACATAGGGCAAACAAATTATGTTGCACAATATGAAGGGTAGGGAATCGTACTAATTTTATAAAGGCAACCTGAAGGAGAATTTCTCAGGATGTCTTTCCTTTTAGATTTTTAAAAGCTTGCCCCTCAAACTGTGATTTCAGGAAATGGCTCCATTTTCTCTACTTCTATATTTACCTACTGCATTTGTAAAAAACAAAACAAAAAAAAAAAACATTAAGCAGGTCCAACATTTTTTCCATTGTTTATTGATTCTACCTTTTCTTTTTCAGCAAAACCAACATGCTTTTTACTTGAACACTAAACTGTGTACTTACCCTGCTATTTCTTCTCTTTCTATGCACTGAAATACCAGAAAATATTTCAGATAATAAAAAATGTGATGCTTTTGGGACTCAGCAGACAACACAGTCTAAAGAGGTACTATAAGGAATGGCAATTGAATATGTTCAGATTTTTTAATCCAAATTAAATGCAGGAATTGTATGTGGAGTTTCCAAAGATAACAGAAAAAAGAAAAATCTTGTACTTGATTTACATGTAGTTTATATATTGGTATATATATATATATCTCTCTGCTGCCAACAAACTGACATTCTGATGCCTATGTTATTAGATGACAGATTTACAGCTCTGACCATGCAAAACATTTTTAAATTAATTAATATAACGTTTCACTGCAATGGAAACATTTTGGGGCAGAAGGAAACCAATACCAACTTGTAATTATAAGGACACTGGATTTTAAAGCTTTTGAAAAATGTTCCATGCCTATAATATGCAGGTATTCTTCATATAAATGGAAGCTTTAAAATACACATTTTCACAAGTCAGAATTAATATCAACTGCAAACTTGAAATTGAAATGTTTAAACTGAAAGGTAATTGCTTATTAATCAATTTCCCATGTGAAAAATCAAGCAGATGAAAACTGCATTCATCAGGTTAAAGACTCAAGGGATTTAGCTGCAAGATTTTCCAGTCTAGATGTTCAAACTGAAATTCTTTGCTTTAAAAATGGATAGACAGGAAGTGTTCAAGCTCGTTTTATTAAACCCCTATCATTCAGTTCCATTTCCTGTAACTATATTAGCCTCTCTCTATCTGTGACCTGGTAGACAGGTAGAATTCATCCAGTTTAATACGGCATGATCAGTCACAAAAATTACTAAGCTAAAGTAACTAAATTGGTAACTAAATTACTAAGTGTGTGCCACCCTCTAACTCGATCACAAACACTAAAACTATGTTATGCAACAAGAAAACAACAGAGTAACAAATATCATTAGTGCTGAAGACTACAGTCCACAGTGAAACACTTTACATGTAAATAATGGTTCTGTATTTATTTCAGAATGACTAAATGAATCAGATGCACCCAGTTTATACCTACCATTTTGGCATAATGTGCATTCATTGGATCAGCATACTGAAGCAAGGCCTGAAACTGATTGTTCTTTGTGAAGGTGATAATCTTCAGGACAGTTCCAAACTTGGAGAAAATCTGACAGGGGAGAAATAGAATCGGGTCTTTTAAAAATCTGTACAAATCTAGCCAGTACCAGACCTAGACTCCTGGTGGCCCTGAGCCAACTTTTAGTATTGGGCCCCTAATAATAATGACAATGGAAAAATACAATTTTTTATCATTTTAATAGACGATGAATAGAAGAGGTAATGTAAAAAATTAGAAAAGCTAATGTTCAAATCACATTTTTTTAAATAAAATGTTTATATAAACTCTACTCTGAGGCATTTTTTGTTGTTGCAGAAACCTTTATCACATCTGTGGTATTGATCTCTTTAAATAGTTCGTTTTCAATTTATAACATTGCCAGCCCCGTATGTGCGCAATATTAATACTTTTTTTGCAATTGTAATTTTTTTTTTTTCATTTTCAGACCCCCTTTCTGTCCAGTACCAGGGTAGCCACCCAGTTCATCCATGCCTGTGTCCAGGTCTGAATCTAGCTATAGTAAAAGACCAACATTTTAATACGTGGGCAACTTTCGCATAACCAGCAGGGTAAGGCACATAAGGGAATCCACCCTTACCCCAGCCCTGGAATTATGTCCTCCTGGGAGTGTAGGGA